AGGAGATCCAGGTCGCAGAGAGGCGTTTACATCCTGCTGGCCCCTCCCGTTTTGCTGGGGGGGGCACATCCCCCGCGGAGTTGCTCGCCTTGCTCATGTTGGTGACGGTGGCCTCCACGACCGGCGTCCCCTCAGCGAGCACAGTCTGGTGCTTTGCCACTCGAGAGCTGGCCGGTACCACCGCAGACTGCCCGGAGACCTCTGCAGCACGCACGGTGGGCAGAGAAAGACATCGCGGTAGAGGAGGAGGCCAAGCAGGCGAGGCAGCAGCATGAATGGGAACAGAGGTAGGAAACGGAGGAGAGGAGGAGGAGGAAGAAGAGGAGGTCACGAATAAGAAGAATAAGACGGAAGTCAAGGCGAACAAGGAGGAAGAGAGCAGCAGCGACAGGAGCAACCTTATCCAGCCGAGCAGTGAAAGGCAGAGTGGAAAGGAGACCACATCGAAGCCAACATTATCAGGCGGCCTCACTGCTTGCGTGCTTGCGCATGGCTCAAAGGCATAGGACCGTCGTGTCCCTCTTGCGGGGCACGCTTGGGACCCTGAATGATTTGTCGGAAAACAGGCTTGGGTTACGCTTGTCCCATCATCCCACACCCCTGCACGTGTTGAGCTCCCTGGTCTCATCCTCACTAACATCATCCTCCACGGCTTCAAATGCAACGAATCGCTTAGAGCTTGGCTCATGTGCACCCGTCTGGAAGAAAGACTACATTCCACACGACGCCGCTCATTGACTTATGGCAACAGGCTTCATATCTGAGTTGGCATGCCTACGAATTAGCGCCGAGCAGCTTCTGAGCATAGAGTTTACGGTGCGCACCTTTCGCGTGGAAGGCCATCCGAGACTCTGCTAAACCACCTGGACGCCGAAAATGCAACAATTGTTGAGATAAAAATCGGGCCTGCACGACCGCATGAAGATCCAGATGAGCAGCTGAAGCCGACTAATGCAACGATTGTCTGGACAGAGATTGGACCGAACGCGCGAAGAGGAGTCCTCAGGCTCTTTGACCACGCGCTGGGCACAGTGATGCTGCGGGAAGCGATCCTTGTGCCAATTCCCTAGAAAGTCTCCTTTGCATTACTTGCAACCTCTTACAGTAGGTGGTCGATTCGAAGAGGACAGAATATACAACGGCGGTAGTCAGACGTAGCTCCACATTTTCATAAGTCGACGTTCACCGAATTAGCGACTAGGGGACCTCGATCGAGGGCCGATCACACGAGTCAGATCACCCTGGAGGTCTCCAAACGAAAAGTAGTCCGGGCGGTCCCCGTCACGGATCATGGAACTCGCGGGGGCGATCTTTAGGACCCCCACGAGCACCCGAGAAGCGCCCCAAACGACCCCAAGGAAGCTCCGACAGAGCACTCAAGTCGGGATCCATGGGTAGAATACCCCATGGATGGCCAGAAGACGGTCCCAAGTCTTCCGACCGCCCCACACGTCCCAAGACGACCCCAAGATCGCCCCGAGGCATCACATATGCTCCCCAGACCAAGAGGGCCCCAAGACGGCCCAGAAGCCTCCTGAGGATGCTCCAGCAACCCTCGAGAGGGCCCCGGGAGGGGAACCTGAGCTCAGATTTTTCGAACCGCTCCCCGAAAGATGGCCCCCGAAACCGCCAGAAGGCCCCCGAGAGGCCTTCAAGAAGCCCCAGAAGCCGCCTAGACTCCCCCAAGAAGCCCCAAGAGCCCCCCAACATGTCCACAGGAGGCTCAAAAAGTGCCCCAGCGAGCGGAGGCACAAGTGCCAAAGATCTACGAGACGGTCCGCAAACAGGGCATCAAAAAGCACTCTGGATAATCTTGAGTGAGCTCCAAATATCCTTCCCCTTTCTCCTTCTCCTCCTGCTCATCCTTTTCCCCCTCCTCCTGCTTCTCCTCGTCCTCCTCCTCTTCCTCGTCCTCCTCCTCCTCCTCCTCCTCCTCCTCCTCCTCCTCCTCCTCCTCTCCTCCTCCTCTCCTCCCATCCTCCATCCCTCCATCCCTCCATCTCCATCCTCCATCCTCCATCCTCCATCCTCCAATCCTCCCATCCTCATCCCTCCTCCTCCTCCTCCTCTCCTCATCCTCCTCCCCTCCTCCTCCTCCTCCTCCATCCTCTCATCCTCCTCCTCCCCCATCCCTCCTCCTCCTCCTCCTCCTCCTCCTCCTCCTCCTCCTCCTCCTCCTCCTCCTCCTCCTCTACTACTACTACGACTACTACACTACTACTACTACTACTACTACTACTACTTACTACTACTACTACTACTAACTACTACTACTACTACTCTACTACTACTACTACTACTACTACTACTACTACTACTACTACTACTACTACTTACTACTACTACTACTACTACTACTACTACTAACTACTAACTGCTACTACTACTACTACTACTACTACTACTACTACCGCTACTACTACTACTACGACTACTACTAACTACTACTACTACTACTACTACTACTATTACTACTATACTACTACTCTACTACTTACTACTACTACTACTTACTAACTACTACTACTACTACTACTACTACTACTACTACTACTACTACTAACTACTACTACACTACTACCACTACTACTACTACTACTACTACTACTACTACTACTACTACTACTACAACCTCTTCCTCCTCCTCCTCTCCTCCTCCTCATCCTCCTCCCTCCTCCCCTCCTCCTCCTCCCTCCTCCTCCTCCTCCTCCTCCTCCTGCCTCCTCCCCTCCCTCCTCCTCCTCCTCCTCCTCCTCCTCCTCCTCCTCCTCCTCCTCTTGCACCTCTCATTCCTCCACTGGTGCGCTACACGCGGTGCGCGACACGCTGCATCGAAACCCTCCAGATCGATCGCGCCACCTTCCACACCACACGCCCGTCGCAGAACCGAAGCTACCCGACGCAGCAGAGCAGAGCTGGACACCGTTTTCGCTGCGAGCGGCAAGCAGCCCCAGAAAATCGAGGCTCGGCTCTAATATGGCCGCTTCCAACTGGGTCCTTGGACCCTCCCGAAGTCCATCCTGGCCAGCTGTTCGAGCTGCGTCCGGCCGTGGCCACGCGAGGGCTCTCGAGGGAGGGCCGGAGAGGGCTCTCGAGGAGGACCCGAGAGAGCTTTCAGGGAGGGCCGCGGCCACGCCGGAAATCCTCGATCCCAGGTCCTCGGCAGTGCGGGAGGCTTTCGGCCCAGAACTCGGGCCTTCGGTGGCCGTTCGGGACGATTCGGGCACCCCTTGAACGCCCTCGGCGAGGCGCAGCCGCAGGAGAAGGCAGGAAAGCCCAGAATCGAGTCGATGAGTCGGATCGGTGATCGAAATGAATCGGATCGGCGGAAATCGGCAGCCGAAAAGAGAAAAGTCGAATCGGCGGAAACCGGCAGGCTGTTAAGGCCTCCAGCGAAAAATCGGAAACCAAATCCGAAGCCGAATCGAATCGGAATCGGAACCCCTCGAAGCCGCATCGAAACGAGTCGGATGAGTCGAAACGAGCCCTGAGATGGGCTCGAGGCGAGAAAGAAAGCCTCCAGAAGACAACGAGCACCTCCGAAGGAAGGGCCCCCATGCAGGCCTCAGCCGCAATGGGCTTCGAAGGTAGATGATGCGATGACAGATGATGGAATAGAATGCGACGCATGCATGAATGCACACTGGGAGCGGCCTCGCGCATGCGGCTAGCCGATGGTGCTACGATGAGGCCGGCGTCCCCCGATTCTCCTGGGACGTGCAAAAAGATGAACGAAATGCGCTTGGAGGGCTACCGACGGCCTCAATGCAGCACACCTTTTTACATCTTTTCTGCACCCCACGCGCCCCTGAGACACGCAAAACACAAGAGATCCGCATTCTCCATGGAGCCTCCATTCGGCACAACCCTCATGTACTTCGTGCACCGCAGGCGCCCAGCTAGCCCCGAAGAAGGCTCCTTGGGGCCTCAATTCGGCACACCCCCTTACGCATTTCGTGAAGCGCAGGAGCTGCCAGGGGAGGGGGAGGCAGCGCAGCAGCTGCCAGAGCCGCCAGCGACGGCGAAGGTGGGAGGAAGGCTTCGCCCGCTGTCGTCGCCGTCGTACGATCGATCATCGATCCATCGATCAATGGTCGATCAATCGCCGATCGGTCGTCGATCGACCCATCGATGGGCCACCCGTCTAGCAGGCCACTGCACGCAAGGTCGCAGAGGCGGCGGGCACAGCGTGCTGGCCCCTGAGAGCGAAGGACGCGGGAGGAGGTGTCTTGCAGCGGGGCTGGCGCGACGTGGGTGTCCGATTTTGTCTTGCGGCATAAGCAGAAACTTTCGACGGTCCGCGCTGATTTCTTGGATCTGCGCTGGACCCCCCCCCCCTGGCGGCGCCTCCAGCGATGCCCCTGGTGCGCTCAGCGAGTGAGGGAGGGAGGCCCAGCACAGATCCAAGAAATCCGTGCGGACCGTCGAAAGTTGATGCTTGTGCTATTGCTTCTGTCCTTATTAAAAAATAGTTGTCGCATTTTGTTCTTATCATGATTAATTAATTAGTATCAGGATTCGTATTGCTCCTCTTCTTCTTGTTATCATTATTACTCTTCTGCGGGCTCGAAGGTGCCAGCACCCCACACTGTACTGAGTCCGCGGGCGCCAGGTGATGCAAGAGGACGGCCAGGCGCCAGTCAGAGCGAGCGGTGGGGCGCAGGCGAAGTGAGACCCGAAAGCGAAAGGAAGAAGAGCGCATCCGGCACTCGCCATCGCTCGGACGTCCATTCCGTGTGTTTTTTTCGGTTTCGTGCGTGGCTTTTTCGCTAAATGATCAAGGATGCTCCTCGATGGTCCTCGCCGAGAAAAAAATGCACACGTCCGAGCGATGCCAGGAGCATCCCACACGGGAGCTGACGCCAGTTGTGGCGCCCGCTGCTTCCACGGACGGGAGGGACCCGCTTCTCTCTTGCGCGGCACGATGCGCAGCAAGCAGGGCACCGCGCGCGAGGTCTGGGGCGGGCACGTCCACCGCGAGCGCGCCCAGGAGGCCTGGCCTACCTGGACAGCTCGCCGGCCATGACGAGCTCAAAGGCGTCGAGCACATTGAGCTTATCCTGCAGCTCATCCCTCTTCTCCTTCCATACCTTGCTTTCCTGCAGTATTTTGGTCAGGCGATCCTTCTCCGCCTTGAGGAAACCATCGCCCCGTTCCCGTATTCTCTCCATAATCTTAACGTACATGGCGGCCTTTCTGTCGTTCTTGAGGTGCCCCTCGGCGAGAGATTTTGCTGCGGCGATGTGTTCCTCAGCCTTGTCAGCCAGGAACTTCCCAGCGATCTCGTCGAGATCCGCGATAGTGCCAATAGCGGGCATATTGACCCCGTTCTTCCGGAGCCAGACAGCGATGTCTGCAGCCTTGACCTCCCCGGGATACCTAAGTCCCTTCTTGTGGGCCTGGTCGAACAAGAGATAGGCCGGGAAGTCTCCGACCACAAGGTTGTAGCGCTCTCGAATGTCGTCGTTCTCCATGCCCGCACGACGATTTGCACGGGCGTCCCACCAGCCGTCCTGCACGGGCACCTCCGCTATCAGGAAATCCCACCAGCACTTTAGGCCGTAGGTGATTTAGATGCACGTGCGCGCCCGCTTGTTTCCCCATAGGTTTTGCGCTAGCTGAATATTGGGGATCAAGCGGGTGACTGCTGGACACCCTTCAATGGTCACCCGCTGACCCCCTTGAATGGTCACCCGCTTGCTTCCCGCTTTCCGAGGGCCCAGGACCAAGCCAGGGGCTCCCGGATATTGGGAAACAAGCGGGTGACCGCTTGTTTCCCAATTTTCGGGAGTTGGAGGTGAACGCCCGACTTTGCTCTCTTTACTCGTTACCTTGGATGTGAGCATCTTGGGAACCAAGAGGGCGCTGACCTACCGGTTCAGAGCGTTTCCTCTTCCGACCCCCGTCTTCCCCTTCGGGGAGGGGTTTACCCCTCCCCATACTCCCCATCCCCCTGGGCCTGGAGGGGGGGGGGGGGGCGCGAGCGCCCAGGGTGGCCCAAGATGGCTCCAAGAGGGCCTCAGAGCCCTTGGTCTCGACGATCGGTGAAGGTATCCGAAAATAGCGGAAGATGGGTCCAAGAGGCCCCAAGAACGCTCCAAGACGGATCCAAGTGGCATTGGAGCCTGCGCAGAAAACCTCCAAGAGGCCAAGGTCCGTGCAAAACCTTCGAACATCAGTGGTGTATGCTTTCTCGTTGTTTCGCTTCCGATGGCCCTCCGAGGCCTCAAGAAGGCTCCAAGGTGGCATAAGAGCGCCCCAAGATGGGCTCAAAAGGGCTCCAAGACGGCCCCAAGAGCTCCCAAGAGCGCCTCAAGGGCGCCCCAAGAGCCCTGCAAGAGGGCGCCAAGAGACGACTTGAGGGGCTCCAGATGGGCGATGCTGTCAGGCCCCCCCCCCGCCCCCCGCCCCCCCCCGCTCTGATCGATGTGATCGAAGATGGCCCCAAGAGGGCATCCAAGGTCCCCCAAAGGCCCCCAAGACGCCCGCAAGAGGCCACTAAGAGGCCCCCAAGAGACCGCCCCAAGAGGCCCACAAGAGCCCCAAAGAGGCCCCAAGAAGCTCCAAGAGGCCACCAAGAGCCCCCCAGGAGACATCCCAAGCGACTCCGAGATGCATCCAAGAGGCCTCTAGTTCACTGAGCCTCCCCGAGATATCCAAATCATGCCATTCCACTCCCCCGATAAGGGCAGCTCCCCTGGGCGTCGTTCCTGGATGGGCTGGTGGGGATGCGCGAAGCGTCAAGAATTGGGCACCGAGTGCGACAGCTTGGCCAGGGTCTTGAACTCGCCCTCCTTGTCTCCGGAGGCGTGCGCCTTGTCCATCTTCACCAGGATCGAGAAGCCCGGGATGGCGAGGGCCTTGTCGAGAGTGTAGTTGTCCAGCTTCAGCGCCCCCAGGGCCGTCCCCGCCGCGCCCAGCGCGGGCATGGACACCCAGACCAGCTGCCACAGCAGCGCCGCCGCCGCGCTCCCGACCACCTGCGGCGCCATCGCGAGAGGCTCCCCTGTGCGCAGGGGCCCGCGTGGGGGCCCGCGCGGACCCGCCTGAGCCAGGCTACGGCGCCTGCTTGCCAGCCTGCTCCGGGAAGCGCGCGCGCAGCGGGAGGGGCACCATAAGCCCGCGTTCCCGGTCGTGTTCGCGCGCCGGAGCGCGCTGCGCCCCATCCCATCCTGGCCAGACTCGAGTCATCACTGGCCCGGGGCAGCTCGGGTTGCTTCCTCCTCATGCCTCCATCCTCCTCTCTCCCAACCGTGCTCCCCATTCCTCCGTCGTCAACCCACCTCCTCCCTCATCCCCCTTCTCCTCCCCCATCCTCCTGCTCCTCCGCCTCCTTATCCTCCTCCTCCTCCTCCTCTTCCTCGTCCTCCTGCTCGTCCTCGTCCTCCTCCTCCTCCTCCTCCTCCTCCTGCTCCTGCTCCTCCTCCTCCTCATCCCTCCTCCTCCTCCTCTCTCCTCCTCCTCCTCCTCCCTCCTCCTCCTCCTCCTCCCTCCTCTCATCATCATCATCATCATCATCATCATCATCATCATCATCATCATCATCATCATCCTCATCCTCATCCTCATCCTCATCCTCATCCTCATCCTCATCCTCATCCTCATCCTCATCCTCCCTCTCCTCCTCCCTTCGCCCACCGAGGCTGCCACATGGGCGTTAGCTTAACGCACGGGGGCCCTACAAGTAGGCCAGATGGAGATAGAGATAGAGAGAGAGGGAGAAGGAGATTGGTGAAACAACGACGCACCAGTAGAGACTAAAATGGGTCCCAGAGGGGCCTCGAAAGAGCCACAAGACGGACCGAGATGACCTGGTTGCCGCCTCAAAAGGGCCCCAAGACGGCCATACAGGGCCTTAGACGGCCCCGGGAGAGGCGTCAGAAAAGGCCAAGGGGGGCCTTAGGCCAGGCGGACCAATGACAGAGCGTCCAGGAACGAGAGATCAGATGAGCGAGCGTGGTAGGCATCCCGTTTTTATCGCTTCCCTGACATCCGACGTCGTGAAAAAATGTCATGTCAGGAGCGACCAGAACTCCCGATCCCATTATTACGCGTTCTTGTCCGAACAATACCGACCCCTCATGTATACAACCATGCCCCCCCCTTTCTTTGCCGATGCCGCTGCCCCGTTCTGACTCGACACACTCGCACCACTCGCCAAACTCGCCGTCCTCCAGCCTCCTCCTCCTCCTTCTCCTCCTCCTCCTCCTTCTCCTCCTCTTCCTCCTTCTCCTCCTCCTCCTGCTCCTGCTCCTGCTCCTGGTTTTCCTCCTCGTCCTCCTCCTCCTCCATATCTTTGCCTCATGAATAAATCCTCCTTGTCGCACCCCGATGCCATTCGGAAGCGGGGGCCAAGCGTTTCGCATGAGACATCCCTAAATACCGCTTATGAGCCTTAAACTCACTTTGACTGTCTTGAAGCTGTCCCACTGCTTATGCAAACATCCCACCCTCCCACCCGCGACTTGGTCGCAAGACTTCTTAAGACCGTGACGGTGGGTACCAAATGACACTTGGCAACGACAGCGACGCCGACGACGACAGCGACAATGACGACGACGACGACGCCGACGACTACGACGACACCGACGACGTCTCCGACGACTTCGACGACGACGACAAGGACGGCGACGACGACGACGACGACGACGACGACGACGACGACCGCGACACCGACGACGACGACGACGACGACGCCGACGCCGACGCCGACGACGACGACGACGATGACGACGCCGACGACGACGACGGCGACGACGACGCCGACGACGAGGACAACGACGACGAACAACGACGCCGACGACGACGACGACAACGACGACGCCGACGACGACGACGACGACGACGAAGACGACGACGACGACGACGACGACGACGTCGACACCGAAGACGACGCCGACGACGAGGTAGGAAGAAGGACGACCACGGCGACAACGACGACAATGACGAGGGAGGAGGGAGGACGGCGACGACGCGAACGACGAAGAAGGAGGGAGGACGGCGACGCCGACGACGACAACGAGGGAGGAGGGAATCGGAGGGAAGACGACGACGACGACGACGACGACGACGACGACGACGACGACGACGACGACGACGGCGACGAAATAGGAGGGGCGACGACGGACGACGACGACGACGAGGGAGGCAGAAGGACGACCAAGGCGACAACGACGACGGAAACGACGACGACGCCAAAGAGGACGACGGCGACGACGACGACGACGAGCAAAGGCAGAGGACGACGACGGCGACGACGACGACGACGAGGGAGGAGGGAGGACGGCGACGACGACGACGAAGACGACGCAAAAGAGCGTCCGCACGCTTTTGTTGAAAATCCGTGTTGCGAAACCCTGTGGTTTTGTATGTTTTTTGGCACTAGATTTTGAAACACGTCCGAAACCGAACGTTTTGAAGGATTTCGGCATGCGCGCGCGACGACGCGCGCACGCGCACTTCGTCCCATTTTTTGCAGAGGATTCTCGCGACGGCACGCGCGCAAGGGCGTTCGAACGATTTCGACATATGCGCGCGGCAAGCCCGTTTGGCAGCATGGTTTGACAATATCGAAAGCCCATGGTTTTCTAAAGATTTCGCAAGGGCGCGCGTGTAAGCTTGTTTGGCAAATCAGTGTTGCGAAACCCTGTGTCGTTGTATGTTTTTTGGGAACTCGATTTTGCAATCCTTCCGAAACCGAAGGTTTTGTGAAGGATTGCGGAATGCGCGCGCGACGACGCGCGCGTGTGCACTTCGTCCCATTTGTTGCAAGGGATTCGTGAAAACTTATGAGTTTTGATAAACGAGTGTGCGCGCATCGTATTTGTTGCAGAGGATGGCGGGGGGCGATCCAGGCCTGGCTGGGATAGTACGAATTCATATGTAGGATGGACGATGGGGCAGAATCATGTGCAAATTGCAAGACGGAAAGGTGTACCGTTAACTCCGGGAGGGGGGTAGAGTCTCTTTTTCCTTTCGAAATGAGAATTTCAAAACATATGGAGGGCGGGTGGCTTTCAAAGTTCGGCTCTCACTTTAGCGCCGCGCACATTGGTTTCAAACATTTGCAAGGGCTTCACGGATTGAAAGCGGGTTGGGTTCAAGATGTGGCTCTCGCCTTAGCGCCACGCACATTCCTTGTACAACTTTGTAAGAGTTGCACGGATTGAGGACGGGTGGTTTTCAAAATGTGGTTCTCGCAATAGCGCCGCGCACATTCGTTTCACACAATTGCAAGAGTTTCACAGATTGACGGCGGGTCGTTTTCAGAATGTGGCTCTCGTCTTCAGCGCCTCGCACATTCGTTTTATGTGCAAGAAATGTGGCTCTCTGGCCTCCAGCGCCGCGCACACTCGTATTAAACAGTTGCCAGAGTCTCACGGGTTGAAGGCGGGTCGTTTACAGCGTGTGGGTCTCGCCTTCAGCGTCGCGCACATTCGTTGTTAAACATTCGCTGGAACTTCACTGGTTGACG